TGCAAGCCATCTGGCTACCATGAGAGATTCGTTCATGAGGCTATCCACATATACAAACACAGAGACAATTTCAACCGAGAAGATGGATTCTGGCTTAGCAATCATTGGAAGGATTTGATACACCATTTCGGGTCTTAATTGATTGTGTTCACGCTTACGGTGACTTTGAGACCGCATTCCATTCTTTTTCTATCTCCCCCCTCCTCCGTTCCGAGCATAGATGGACTCGTCCGTCTGAACAACCGCCAGTTGCTGTCCGTGGTGCTAACGTTAAGAAAAAAACCGCCACTTTTTTCAAATTTTCTTGCTGTGGTTTTCACACCTGATGATGATTTCTTGTGTTGCAATAGAAACGTCGTGAGAATTGTGTTGTTTTATTTGTATTATTTTATTATTTCCCTTCTACGTGGCTTTACCAAAAGAACCCAGAAGATGAGTGTTATATCACTTTCACGGGATGGCCAATAACATGACGAGAATTTTCTTAATTAGAACACCATATATTCAGAGCTCACTCACAACAGCCCCTCCCCCCCTAGTGGAAATTTCATGAGCTGACACTGCTTTTCGGAAGAAATTTTATTTTTTATTTGTAACAACATTAATTTTGCCATTTATCGTTATGTGTTGGAATTTTTTTTGGAAATTTTTTTCTGAACATTTTTTGTTACTTGTTTATTCGGGCCCCCCCCCCCCCTGGTGGCCGAATGGGCCCCTACGCGTCGCATAACATTGCTGCATACCCCCAACTATAGTTGCACCCCTTACTGCAATCTAAGGCCAGAGCATTGGTTCAGGGCACAGGGCGAGCTGCCGGAACTCCTGTCACCAGCCACACATGGCTGTTTCACATATGCTGAACCTCGCTGTACCGTATTCTGCTTCGCGTTGGGTCCGTTCAACTCGTGTTGAAATGCACCGTCCGCAGATGCGGTACGTAACGCGCAAAATGTTGCGCCCATGACTAAATGGTGAGATGCTTTAAAAGCCAAGCGGGGTTGAGCCTGCATAGTGCTCCGATGGGTGACCAACGTGAATAAAAGATGTTATGGACTGCGCTGTTTGGTCTTCAGGTGAACAGTAAAGGGCAGTGCAGCAAAATCCATCCTTGTCATTTGCTTCCATGCTCACCGCTGCCACCAACCGCTCACTGACCATTGATTCAATGTTTCTGCAATCGATTAAATCAGCAGTGGTGAAGTATGGTAAAAAAAACGCACACGCCAAACCTGCACGTTGTTGTCGCCATTTCACTTTCACGTCGAGGGGCAAACGTTGGTCTTGGTTATTATTACGATGACTCATACCATCGTTGCCAAACACAACATTGTTGAGGCCATTCGACTGCAGTACGGCACATTTGCTGAACGCCCCTCCTTCATATGTGCGCAGCTGCCGGCATTGGCAGCGGCGTCATTATTTAATGAACCGCACGATGCCTTCCCGCCTCCCAAACCCGCGCCTCCCCTTGTAATTGTCGTCACCCCTTCGCCGCCATCTCCACAGATCGTCTTCCACACTTTCGTCTGCCTCCTAGGCCAAGGGGGTCAGCAAACCTGCGGCTCCGGAGCCCGCGGGCGGCTCTCGAAGGGACCGTCTTCATGTCGTTATTCTATTCAGGACCACCACCGTGTCGTATTCACCATGTTCATTGTGGCTCTTGAATATTTAGGGGGTTTTTTACCGAATTGTAACAAAAAAATGTCTGTTCTGATTGTTTTCGTTTCCGACCCCTGCTCTAGGCGCGCGGCTTCATCTGCCGCGTCCCAAGATCTATTTTTCATGCACGGCTTTTTGGTTGCTCTTTTTGCCCTGCTTGACTGTTAAAACTATAATTGATTTATTTCTCTCTCATCTCAGCCGCATTGCTCTTTTGGCATTCTGCGGCTCCCTCTCTCACTTCGGAGCAACCTCAATGCCATCATCTCGTGGGCCGCTTCTCGTATCCTCTGCTTGCCCGTCAGTGCCGTCTGTCCGTGTTGTCCGCTTCTGTGAATGAGCAGCGGCTAAAATACGACCTGTGCGGCCACACGTTTAAATTAACAGAACTGAAACAAGCCGAATTAAGTGAAAACTCACTTTAAATGTGAATCTCGTAGGGAAGTCGTTGCTCATCAAGCTGAGACCAACTCTCACTTCACCTCAAGAACCTGGTTTAACCACGGACAACCGAAAACCTGGACTCGAATCCGGGTTCTCAGCGGTTGCCGGCTCAGTACCTCTATCACAGTATCAGTACCCTGTTTTTTGCGGCAAACTTTTGAATCCAAACGCATGGACTAAAGATGCACAGCGAGACTCGGTACAGAGTTACAGTACTTACATGCACACACAACGCAACGATCCCATGTAAAGCCTTATCATACTTCATAGAGGTTTTTTTTGGGTTAGATCGATCTAACCCAAAAAAACCTCTATTGTGGATATTGGTCGCGAAAGCATTCGTGTTAAACTAACCTTATCATACTATAGGAACAAGTGCTGTTAGCGAGCACCTATTAAGGCTAGCACGGCACACCAGGAAGTGGGTGAACAGCACCACGCTCGGCCGCCTTTGTCTCCCTACTGGCGATGTTTACACACCGCAACAGGCACTCACTTGAGGCTGAGACGATCTAGGGGGAGGCCCTAGGACCGGTTCGGATAATCGTCAGTGGTGTTGACCGTGAGCGGGAATCGCCGGAATTCGTAGCGCGGTGCCCAAACGCTGCACCCACCGCTTCCCCAAACTCGCACGGTTTATAACCCCGTATTCTTGTACAGGGAAATCGAGTTTTCAGGTCCATACGGAGTACAGCCGTTTTGTGGACGGGCTTTGTAGGATGAACGTTGAGATTTATAAGGGGCACGGGGTGACCAATAAGGTCTGAATTGGTCTGTAAAAACGTAGGCACTGGTAAGGGGTTGACAGGTATGCTGTACACTACACTATACACTACACTATTATACCCTACACAAAACACTACACTATACAATACCTGTCAACCCATACGGTTTACCCGTAACCTTGTACAGGGAAATTGAGTTTTCAGGTCTATACGGCGTACAGCCGTTTCGATTGGGCTTTTTAGGATGAATGTTGAGATGTATAAGGGCACGGGGTGACCAATAAAGATTGAAATTATGTAATAAGGTGGACACTGATAAGGGGTTGACAGGTATGAACTTATATGAGAGTCCATATCTGTCCAAAGTGTGAAAAACGGTTAAACTTGGGTGAGTGAAGTCACGAGCAAACTCGACCACTCAGAGCTCCGCTGCTAAGTCGTCTTGCACCCCTTCTGCCGCAGTCTTCATCGTCCCCACCAGCCGGTCCACCTCCATTATTCACCAGGGGCTGTTTAGGGCCCCAGAGACACCAACACACACAGTAGCGAGGCATCGCATTGCCAAATCCATCACTGCCCCACGATGGAGGTTTCTCATTGTTTTAGCAGCAGTCCTTCGGAATAGAGTAAGTAAACTAAACTATTATTCAACTGAAACGAAACTTATGTTGTTGTTTTGTTTTGTTTACCAAATGCGGCCCACTGAGCTGGAAAGCTCTTTTTCAGAAGCGACTTGGCGATCACAATTGAGGGCTCGAAGGAGCGGTAGTAAAATACTCTGAACGAATGTCGATTCTACACGTGGAGGGGAAGAACCGGAGGACCCAAATAAAACATTCCACGCGGCCACGGGGGGAGAGACATGGGGAAACTATATCTGCATAACTAATGTAACGACAAAGTTTGTCGAGATACAACCAATGTACGCAGACGCAGTGAGATGGTGAGAAACAAATACCCGAGGGTACGCCGCCGTGTTACTGTATCATTCCGCGTTGCCGCATCACTCCGTTCGGCCGCGCAGCTCAAGAACGCAGTTCGACGTCGACCGCTCAGAGACCGCGTTGCAACGGGGTGCGCGGTCCGCGTTATAACAGGCGCGTGCCGCGTTGTGCCAAAAGTGTTCCTTCATGGAAGAACCGCATTGTAGTGAAAACGCGTTATGTGAACACGCGATAAGTGAGGAATCACTGTGTATATTTTAGGGCACTTTGTCAATCCACCGCTTGGTTACGAGGGGCTCCCCGCACGCAGTAGTACCAAGTTATTTTTGGGGGTGGATTGACCATATCTCAGCAGACCGGCCAGTGCAGTTGACTAAAGAGTGATGGACGGATGGCGCAGGACCCGTTCAGATATCGGTCGCCACTGAAGTTTACCGTGGCCGGGAGTTGAACTTTGGGTTTGCCAGGTTGGCAGTGCGGTACGCGCTCGATTAAAAAACCATCAAACGCTCTACCCATATTTAGATTCAAGTCCAAGCGTGTTCACCGTGTACGTGGCTGTGGCAGCATCCCAACTCCAACCGGCAGTGCTGTGCACGTACAGGCGTTCCCCCCGCACCTCCGATGAGCACGTGTGGCTACGTTAAATGTAATGTCTGCGACGTGATCTATCTCCTCCCTATTGTACAGCAGGCCGAGGTGAGATATAGAACGGGCACGCAGTGTGGATGGTAATTGTGTATACGCGCATACTAGCGCTCGTGCACAGATGACGCCGCTCCTTGGCAATGCTCCCAGAATGTTCCGTCGGTTTATCGGCGACGTTTCCATCCATCTTTCGATTGGCGCGGTTGGCTACGTACGGCGAGAAAGAAGTTAAACGTAAATTCTGCCACCCACCCCTCCAAATAAAAGATGTAGGTATACATTTTAGCAGGCTCTTTTGCGCGTAAAAATACTTAACCACAGCATTGGATAGTCGGATAGAAAGAGGGAGGAGTGGGAGAGAGATGGAGGAGTGAGAGAGAGAGATGGAGGAGTGGGAGAGAGATGGAGGAGTGGGAGCGAGATAGGAGTGGGAGAGCGAGGGGGGTAGAGATGGAGTGGCAGAAAGATGGAGGAGTGGGAGAGAGGGGGGGAGTGGGGGAGAGAGGGATAAGCAGGAGAGAGATGGAGGAGTGGGCGAGGGGTGGGAGAGATGGAGTGGGAGCGAGATGGAGGGGAGTGGGACATATACTAAGGACATATACTAAAATTGGAACGATACAGAGAAGATTAGCAAGGCCCCTGCGCAAGGATGACACGCAAATTCGTGAAAAAAAAGGAGAGAGGGGGGAGGAATGGGAGAAATGGTGGTTGTGGGGGAGAGAAGGGCAGGAGTGGGAGAGAAAGGGTGTAAGGATTTAAACCCTGAAATGCAATGAATTATCACGATTCAGAGCTCTGATTTCATTCAAGAATTAGCTTTTCGTCTCATTTCTACTGCCTCGTTTGTTTTGTTCCAGTCACGTTTGTACCATTTTGTGTCGCTCTATTAGGATAAATTTAATGTAATATAGTAGTCATCATTGTTTACCATTCATGTACATAGATAGCTATTTCTCAATCCACTGCCGGATGAAGGCATCCCTACGCACCTCTCTCCATGTGTGAGCGAGATCGGAAAGGTGTGCGATGGGAAGAGCATTGAGACGCGTGGATGGCGGTGGAGTGGTGGGGGGAGGATTGGGAGAGAGAGAAGAGAGGAAGAAGCGGATGTGGACCCGCGTTGTCGGCAATTGATCGGTGAGCGCTGCGTCCGTGTTAAGTGGGCGGTGGTGCAATATGTCGTGGGAGGGCGGGCGTGATGTGATGTCACGGGGATGCTCAGCACCAGTCTGGCGGCTGGCGGGGTGGGGGTGGTAGTGGCGGAGAGGATGGAAGACCCCACCCTCGGTTGTCATAGCGACATCCATCTCTCCTCCCCTCCTGCCCCCCCATCTTCACACGTGTGTGCATGTGTGGGTGCGTATGTCTGGGGAACGGGAGTGTAGCGGTTAGCGCGCTGCGCTACGAAGCCGACGACCCGAGTTCGATTCCCGCTTATGGCCAACACCGGTGACGATTATTTGAGCCGGTCATGGGCCTCGCCCCCTAGGTTGTCGCAGCCTCAATATGAGTACCTGGTGCGGTGTGTAAACATTGCCAGTGGGGAGACAAAGACGGTCGGGCGTGGTGCTGGCGACCCACCCCATCTTGTACCGTTCTGGCCTTTATAGGTGCTCGCTTCAGCACTTGCCCCAACAGTCTGTTAAGGCTATACGGGGAATCTTTGTCTTATGTCTGTCTGCATGCCGCAGCGATAATTAGCGAATTAATAATAGTGATATTCAACTCGTAAACATTGTGATTCTTGAATTACGCAGCCGTTTGTAATGGTACAAATATAGTATATCGTGTTGTTCCCGCATTCTCCGGATTATTAACACACTTTTTGACCCCTGTATGTCAAGCAACACTTGGCCGGAGTAGGGGGGGGCTTATAACCTCAAACTAAATTCGAAGCTTTCGTGACTGCAGAAATTACTCTTTGGTTCTTTCGGTAAAGTCACGTAGAAATAAATTAAATAATAATAATAGAATACGACGTTTCGATTGCAACACAAGCAACCATCATCAGGTACGAAGGAGCTGTCCATAAATGACGTCAAGCGATTTTGGACTATTGTTTTACCCCCTCCCCCCCATCGTCACACAATTGTCATTGTAGTGCGTATTTAATATGCCGCTGCACTCTGATGTAGGAGAAAACATTTATTAAAAAGTCTATTTAAGTAGAACGTGTTGTCTATATTAATGTAAAGTTGCGCATTTTAATGTGACGTAACATTTCTAAACCCCCCCCCCCCGTCACACATCTTCACAAATGTCTGACCCCCCCCGCCCCGGGTGCGTGACGTCATTTATGGACGGCCCCAAATTATTGTTTTTCTTTCTACGTGCTTATAACCTGGCAGGTGTCTGTCTGTGCGTGTGGGAAATAGACCATATTTGGACACAGGGACTCCGATACTTACGAACTTTCAGAGACACGAACAAACACGTCCGCATGTCCAGTTGCTTGTTCGGACCGAGAGGCGTAAGTTCAAACCCCGCGCAATAGATGGCGGTGGTGGCATTTGCATCTGCAGAGTAATAACCAGTGGCATCGACATTCCCAGTGTTTCGTGTACATGCCGTACAACATGTTTGGAATCGTCGGAAATAAAGTGGGACTGCGACTTGTGAACAGACCCCTGGAGTCCCCTGTAACATTCTTTGACACTGGGCACAAGTTTGGGGTGCGTCTTTCCAGAACGCAGAACAATCTGGAGAGGACGCCCATCTAAAATAAGGCTCATTCCTCAATCGCGCCCCTCAATACGCTCGCAGTAGTTCATAGTTTAGTTCATAGTTTCATTTATTTGGTAGAGCCCTGTGAGCCATTCGACTCTTGAATCGGGTGCAACCGCAACAAACAAAAAACATGAACAAGAAAACATCTTAAAGTGATTATGTGACTGTGCAAACAGAAAATCCAGGAAAAAAAATCAAAATATTCCTGAAATAGCACCGTACACCAACGCTGTGTGCAAAAATCCCAGTGGGATGCAAGTCAAACAACAACAACCACAAGACAACTAAGATTAAGGCGTGGCGAAAGCCCGCGATTAAATAAATGCTCAACGCGAGGCCCCGATCTTGGACGCTGTCGCGTTTGTCTTGGACTGCGAGTGGCAGCCAAAACCCTTGGTGGGAAATTTTTTTTAAAGTGTCGTTTATCCAGATTCCACAGGGTTGTAGTGGGTTTGTTGTTGTTGTTTAGATAAAATGCCACATGGCAGTCCTCGGCATCCATTTCTACCAGTCGTGACGAAATTCACGAGCTCGCAGGAACAATGAAAGGAAAGAGTGCGGTAAATTAAGGCTTTTGGTCAGCAGTAGAGAGTTATATTACAACTATAATAGCCCAGAAGTGTGTGTGTAACGCGCGTGACGTCACTCCACATGCCGCACCCCCCGTCATTAATAATAAAATAATCATGAGCGGGTGGATTTTTACACTCACGCGGAAGAAGGTCGATCGGAAATAATTATTTTTTTACGCAAATTCGCTTTAAATTTGACGTTTCTTTATTGAAATGTAATCAAATAAATATTTATACGCAGCAAAATTTCTTGCTGTGGTTTTCACACCTGATGATGATTGCTTGTGTTGCAGTCGAAACGTCGTGAGAATTTATTTTTTATATATTTTTTTTATTTAATTGTTTCCCTTCTATGTGACTTTACCGAAATAACCAAGAATATGAATCCTTGCAGTCACGAAAGCTTTAAATCAACATTTGTGTTTGGTGTATTTATTTCGTGAGCACGTAAAACAAAAGGTAAGTCAAATTTTTGCTTCTAAATTATTATAAAAGTAGCCTATAGCCCGTCCAAGGACGGGTGTATTGCAGTTCATCTGAAATATTCAATCGAAAATAATAACCCGCTCTTGATTATTAATGAGGTGGGGCCGGGGTTCACATGGGTGACGTTATCAGCTCATGATTATTGATGAGGGGGGGGGAGCTCCATGTGGTATGACGTCATCTGCTCTTGATTATTAATGAGGTGGTGGGGCCGGGGTCCACATGGGTGACGTCATCAGCTCATGATTATTGATCAGGGGGGGGAGCTCCATGTGGTATGACGTCATCTGCTCTTGATTATTAATGAGGTGGTGGGGCCGGGGTCCACATGGTGACGTCTTCAGCTCATGATTATTGATGAGGGGGGGAGCTCCATGTGGAATGACGTCATCCGCTCTTGATTATTAATGAAGGGGTGGGGGCGTGGTCCATATGAATGACGTTATCAGCTCATGATTATTGATGAGGGGGGGAAGCGCCATGTGGAGTGACGTTATCTGCTCATGATTATTATTGAGGGGTTGGGGGCGTGGTCCATATGAGTGACGTCATCAGCTCATGATTATTGAGGGTTTGGGGGCGTGGTCCACATGGGTGACGTTAGCAGCTCATGATTATTGATGAGGGGGGGGGGGGAACTCCATGTGGAATGACGTCATCCGCTCATGATTATTATTGAGGTGGTGGGGCCGGGGTCCACATGGGTGACGTTATCAGCTCATGATTATTGATGAGGGGGGGGAGCTCCACGTGGAGTGACGTCATCTGCTCATGATTATTAATGAAGGGATGGGGCCGGGGTCTACATGGGTGACGTTATCAGCTCATGATTATTGATGAGGGGGGGGAACTCCATGTAGAATGACGTCATCCGCTCATGATTATTATTGAGGTGGTGGAGCCGGGGTCCACATGGGTGACGTTATCAGCTCATGATTATTGATGAGGTGGGGGAGCTCCACGTGGAGTGACGTCATCTGCTCATGATTATTAATGAGGGGGTGGGGCCGGGGTCCACATGGGTGACGTTATCAGCTCATGATTATTGATGAGGGGAGAGAGGTCCATGTGGAATGACGTCATCCGCTCTTGATTATTATTGAGGGGTTGGGGGCGCGGTCCATATGAGTGACGTCATCAGCTCATGATTATTGATGTAGGGGGGGAGCTCCACGTGGAGTGATGTCATCTGCTCATGATTATTAATGAGGGGGTGGGGCCGGGGTCCACATAGGTGACGTTATCAGCTCATGATTATTGATGAGGGGGGGGGGAGCTCCACGTGGAGTGACGTCATCTGCTCATGATTATTAATGAGGGGGTGGGGCCAGGGTCCACATGGGTGACGTTATCAGCTCATGATTATTGATGAAGGGGGGGGGAACTCCATGTGGAATGACGTCATCCGCTCATGATTATTAATGAGGTGGTGGGGCCGGGGTCCACATGGGTGACGTTATCAGCTCATGATTATTGATGAGGGGGGGGGGGGAGCTCCATGTGGAATGACGTCATCCGCTCTTGATTATTAATGAGGGATTGGGGGCGTGGTTCATATGAATGACGTCATCAACTCATGATTATTGATGAGGGGGGGAAGCGCCATGTGGAGTGACGTTATCTGCTCATGATTATTATTGAGGGGTTGGGGGCGTGGTCCATATGAGTGACGTCATCAGCTCATGATTATTGAGGGTTTGGGGGCGTGGTCCACATGGGTGACGTTAGCAGCTCATGATTATTGATGAGGGGGGGGGGGAACTCCATGTGGAATGACGTCATCCGCTCATGATTATTATTGAGGTGGTGGGGCCGGGGTCCACATGGGTGACGTTATCAGCTCATGATTATTGATGAGGGGGGGGAGCTCCACGTGGAGTGACGTCATCTGCTCATGAT